GATGATAGATTAAGTTCATATGAAAATTTGAGAATCGAGATGGAATAACTTCAAGGACATAAGGATTATTAAGATCATCATGTAGAGTTTTGTTTGTAACCTAATAAGGAGCATTGACTATTGTACGAAGGACTTTAGATTGGAAGGATTGGAAGCGTTTGATGTTCGAAAATTTATCTGTCTTCCATATCTGATGAACGTAGGTCCAATTAGCTTCAAGTATGGTCTTGTATATTAATAATTTATTAATTAATTTAATTGCGCGATATTTTGCAAGATAGGCCTCCATTTTGGGCTAATGTGACTGGACTATAATTAAACCACAAGAAAATGTTCCTATCATATAATAGTAATTTATTTAGTATTATAATTAATGCGCTGGTTTAAGTTTGTATCTTTTAATAAATAGCATCACGATTCAATACATAATAGAAATCCTTCTTCTTCTTCTCTTGGCGCTACAGACCGAAGTGGTCCTTGGCCTGCATCAACATCTGCAACTACCGGGCTCTGTCTGCCATCACACGGATGTCCGACTGTCTCATGTCCTCTTCCGTCTTCTCCCTCCATCGAGCTCTTGGCCTGCCCTTTGCTCTAGTGGCGAAGATCTTCCCTTTGTATACTTTCTTCACTTGTCTGTCTTCATTCATTCGGTTGACATAGCCAAACCATTTCAGCCTGCTTATTCGTATGAAAGCACCAGTGAAAGTGAAGCACCAGAGCTCAACTCCGTAAGTCCAAATAGGTCTTATTGTAGTCATGTATATGAGTCTTTTGTAATTGCCTGGGAGCTTAGAACGTTGGCTAGTAAGTGCTGGAGTAGTCGGAAACGTCGAGCTGTTTCTTGTCGTTTCAGTCTGGTATGAGGATTCCAAGTTAGACGTTTGCCTAAGTGGAGTCCAAGGTATCGAATTTGTTCAACAGGGATAAGTGGGGTATTGTTAAAGGATACTGTAGGACAAGTGGACATAGGTTTACGACGAAGGGTAAAGGTGATTTGATGGGATTTATTGGAATTTATTTTTATCCTCCAGTTTTGAAACCATCCTTCAAGGTTTGTGATATGTGATTGAAGGGTTTGGGATGCAATAGTTGGATCGTTATTAACTGATAGGACACATGTATCATCGGCATACGTGGTAATGACAGTGTTAGGATGGGTTGGGATATCAGCTGTATAAACTGTGTAAAGGATAGGACCTAGGATACTACCTTGAGGAACACCAGCGGACTGGGAAAAAAGGGATGAATAGGCATTATTATGATTTACTTTGAAGGATCTATCAGTTAGATAGGAACGGATTATGAGGAAGTATGTTGAGTGTAGGAATTTACGGAGTTTGTAAAGCAGTCCTGGGTGACAGACTCGATCAAAAGCCTGTTCTACATCGAGAAAGACTCCCGTGCAGTACATTCCGCGCTCCAATGCAGAGGAGACAACATCCACCACACGATGGCATTGCTGTGGAATGGGATCGGCGGAATCCAAATTGATAATCTGGGATAATGTGATTAGAATCTAGGATGGGGTACAGGAGTTTTAGGATGAGCTTTTCCAGGATTTTGTCTAGGATGGGTAAAAGGGAGATAGGGCTATAGGAGGATGGGTTTTCTGGTGGCTTTTTGGGTTTATGTATCATTTTGATAATAGATAATTTCCAAGTGTCAGGAAAGTATGTGGATCGCAGTACAGCATTATAAATATATAAGTTCATTAAAATAAAAACAAATTTGGCATCATGTATTAAACTTCTATTAGACATTTGTTGTTTACTTTGTGACAAATTTCACAATAAAATTATTACAATATGCTAGATTTGCAGATGGTCCCCATGATAAATAAAGCATCTCTCTTCCTATGGCTTAATTGTTGACCTAGCATTCACAATGTTCGTCAGTTAAGATGTAAAATTCCAATTACATATTTGTAGATAGCTATAAATCACGAAGCTGTTTCAATCGCTTGGTTGAAGGTAATCAGAGTTGAAATCCTGTTATGGTTGGAGTTCCAACATGAGTAAAGGTTAAGTTTCAAGTTGCTCTCTCTTGCGAGTTAGTTGCCTCAATTTGTAGGTTGTTCGTCCCAAACAGGCCCTTCATAGCTCTACTGCTGTTATAGCCAGATAAAATAGGTATAGTGTCAAATATTACTGAATGTTTATATATATATATATATATATATATATATATATATATATATATATATATATATATATACATACATATACATATACATGAGTATAAAGGATGTCCCGTAAGTAGCGGGAAATTTTTATAGGAATGATAGCAGACCTCATGATCTACAACTTTTTATATATACAATGACCCAGTTCCCAACAGAAAAGTGAGAAATTTAAGCTTTGTGATTTTTTAAGTGAGTCACGTTGTTTGTTGAATAGTAAGCCATAAATACATTAATATTTAATTTAAGTAATTAATATATACTTCAGAGTAAACTAGATAAAATTTACTTCAAATGAAAATAGATATTGTCATTGTTGTATCCATTTTAAGAGGGATATTGAGTGACTAATCTCAGGTATGTTAAAATAAAATCATAAAGTATTTGTGATTTTTTTTCATCACTCTCAAACTGTAGATAATCCACTTTTAGAAAACCTTCCTCGTTTAATAAGTATTAAGTCCATATTAATTATGTTAAGGTTTATGAGGAAAAATTTTTATAATCTCCTCAATATGAGTAAAAGAATTATGTGATTTGATATCCTGTTCCCTAAAAATAATCACGTTTTCTGCAGAAATGGCTACAATAAATTATTGGAAAGCTTTTATTTCTTTTTTTTCCCATGACCTGGATTTTATTATAATTAATATGAATGGATAAGTATACATTTTATTTATTTTAAAAAAGATGTTAAAAATAATGGTTTTTGGAATATTTATCATCTAAAGAGATAATTTAAGTGGGTTTTTTACCAAGATCTCTAGTATAGATATTGATACGTATTTTTAATTGTCCAACTAAATATTCCTAATCCCAATATTTAATTTTTCGTGAAAATAATTTGAGCAATCTACAGGTTTTTTTATAGTAAACATAAATATTGAGATTGGTAACATTTGTCACTTATAAATACCGATCCATACCTGTAATACAGTTTTAGGTTAAAAAAACAATTTTATTATCACTTTAGATGATAAATATTCTAAAAACCGTTATTTTTAACATTTTTTTTAATAAATAAAATGTATAATTATCCATTTATATTTATTATAATACATCTTAGATCATGGGGGAAAAAACAAATCATAGCTTTTCAATAATTTATTGTAGTCATTCTGCTGAAAATATGGTTACTTGTAGGTGGCAGGAAATCAAATCACATAATTTTTTTAAGTAAGTTGAAGTGACTCAAAATTTTCCCTCATAAACCTCAACTTAATTGATATGGACTTATTAAACGCTTATTAAAAAGCTTATTAAACGAGAAAGTTTTTCTAAAAGTGGGATATCTGTAGTATAGTTAGAGAGTGTTGAAAATAAAAAATCGCAAATAATTTATGATTTTTTTTAAACGGAACTTAGCTGAGTTCAGCCACTCAAAAGCTCTCTTTAAATGGTTTAAACAATGACTAACTCTAATTTCGTTTGAAGTAAATTTTATCTAGTTACTCCGGAGCAATTTTTAATTCCTTACATTAAAAATTTGTGTATATATGGCTTCCTGTTCAACAAAAAACGTGACTTTCTTAAAAAATCACAAAGCTTAAATTTCTTACTTTTTCTTGGGAATTGGGCCATTGTTTATATAAACATTTTTTTAGATCATGAGGTTTGCTATACCTCCTATAAAAATTTTCCTCTGCTTAAGGGACACCCTGTATGTACTGAAATAAATACAGAGATATTGATAGTTATGTGTGATTTATTTCCCCTAGAATTTTTATTATAAAACAAATTGAAAATTAATACAAATAAGATTGTATTTGAAATTTTATAAAAGGTGTTTTAAAAAAATAATAAAATTATAAGTTTTGTGATTTAGTTTTTATGATTGGTAATTGTGAGAATTTGTGAAATATCCTCTGTTATGCACGACCTCTTTACACCTAACTGTTAATAAGGTTGTCTCTGATTTCACAAGGGATTTCTTACGATAGGCGTGGTAGTTACTGCCTTCAGTTGCTGAATCGGGAATTGGTTGATTTGAAATCATTCCCAACCCTGTTCTAGGACTCTTCGGCGCATACGACCGCTATAAATACAGAAATTTCTTCCACCATCACTAATATTTCCATTACTGTGTCTTCTTTGACTATTTTCCTCTTATAGATGCATCCGGTTTTATATTTCCAATCACAACACCTCATGGGCATTGCCAGGGGGAAGCAAAGTGGGGCACTGTCCTTTCCCCTTTCAACATAGAAAAAATAAAAAATAAAATAGCAACAAATATAAAAAACATAACTGAAAAACTGATTGCTATCTCCAGATTGATTGTCAGTATATCTACATGTGTAAAGAAAGCAATTAAAATTTTTAAAAACATCCTTTCGGTGCAATTTTTTTTAGTAAGTCCTTGCGTGATCTGATAGATCTATTTTATCGTTGCGTTGCAATGTGCAATCTCCATGTTATTTTATGACTTCAAATTTTAAACGAAACAACAAATAAGGGATACCATTTACCTGCCTAAATTATGCCTAAAATTCTCCTTTTATCAGGACTCAACGTTTTGAATCACATTTATGCACGGCTTTTGCATTCTTGCCGTCATCCTAAATTGTGACAGTCACAGTAAACGAAGACAGTCTGATCCTGAAGGTGTTGTAAAATTTATTAATGTTAGTTTTTTTGTTGCAGTTTTTAGCCGTAGAAACCCCAGGTCATTTATTAACATATAAATAAAATATATATGTATGTATTATATAGCTATGTATTGTATATCTGCCTGAATCGCACATAACGGTTTTATAATTAGTAAAAGTTGACAGCTGATTATGAAATTACTTTAATAATTATTTTTGATATTTTATAGGTGATGTGCATACAGTACTGGCCTTCAACCAAATCGAAAAGTGAAGATTACGGAGATCTGAATATATCTGTGCTAAATGAGGAAGAGCTAGCAAATTTTCATATAAGAACAATCAAAGTGATCCATAAAAAAAATACGGTAAGCCTTTAATGAAAACAAATATATAAACTAAGGTCATTTAACAGTTTAAATAGCATCCATCTTTTTCCTAATATATTTTATTATTTATAATTCCTGGTTAACATTTTGAGGCAACACTCCCATCATCAGAAAATTCTTTACTAAATACCATGAACAATAAATCATTTTATCATAGTTTGCACTATTTATTTTAACTAATTTTAGATAACAATAATTTAAATATGCCATTATAAATTATAATAATGATCCTTGTCATTTTAAATGATTAAAGATGAGTCGTCTTTAATTTCAATCAAATAAAATTTACGTCATAGTATGTACATAAAAGGCTTTACAACCTTACACTTACCTTTACAACCTTTTTCAGTTAAATGTCGGTCAGATAAATGAATTTTAGCCCCTGCTTGCTAGCTTACCTCTATCTATATTTTATAATTATTTGTTATGTAATATCCTTTCTCTTAAATCATCATTAATTTTTTTAATATTTTGAAATTAAAAATGACTTGTTTTTTCTGTTGGCATTATAGATTATGTAGTTCTTTTGCCGCCTTAACAAGTCTGCTCAATCACTGTCTGTCTAAGTCTATTTCTTTCCATTTATCTGCACTCAGCTTTGTTGCATCTTTGTTGATTCTATCTATCCATTTACATTTTGACCTTCTACGTGGTCTTTTGGCTTCTACTGGGGAATTCATTGTTACTTAGAGGCTTCCAGATGGATTCCTACGAGCTGCACGTCCCGCCCATCTTAACCTCCGTGCCTTCATATCATGGGATATTGATTGACCAGTTTCTATAAGCAGTTCTGCTCCGGTTATCGTGTTGACGATTTTTCTCTCAAATCTTTCAACACTTTTTTCTAGGGTGCTGGTTAGTGTCCAGGTCTCGCAGCCATTAGAACTGGCTTTATCATAGATCATCCTTAATTTGAGATTTTTCGAGATTTTAATATCTCTGAAAGGGAGAAGGATGCTCTGTTTGCGCTAGTTATATGTTGGTATATTTTTTCCAGTCAGTCATTGATACAATAGTCATCGAGGTTATTGTGGAGCCGCGGTATTTGAATTTTTCTACTCTCAGGAATGATTTTCTTTCTACGCAGATCCTGTTATTGGGGTATAATTTTCGGCTTATTACCATATATTTTGTTTTGTCTTCATTTACTTGTAGGCCGATCTGCTCTGCCTCTCTTATCAGAGTACTAGCTAGTTTTCAATGGCCTCTTGATTACTACCAAGGATAAATATATCATCTGCGTATCCAAGTTTTTTATGATTCATTCCGCGGTGGAACCCTCCATTTTCTTATCAATCATTATATAATGTGTATTCTATTTAATATATCAGCGTATCGTGTGTTTAAATTTTTAGTATCATTTTTATAATTAGTAGTTTTATCAATATTTTTAGTTAAATGAATCGATTCTAATATTTTTCTCTTTGTGTTACTATTTCGCTGTCTAGTCTTTTAAGTTAAATTTATGATGGAGAGTGGTTTATGATTTCATTTTTATTATGGAACCCAAATTTTCAATTTTCCTGGTCATATAATTTTAATACTCGTTTTATGTTTTCTTTAAGGTAAAGAAAGTTAAATTTAATTAACAATATCTGTTTTTCTGTAATTGGTTTATGGCATTATTATTATTTTTATTTGCATTATTACAATAAGGTTCTTTATTCAATGTATATTTATTTTTAAAACTCCTTAATAACCTTTTGTGTTGGTTGTGTTATATTACGTGGTACAGACTCCTTTTTATTAAATTATTAACATCCGTCTGAAACTTCGTCAATAGCATCATCTCATCGTGGCCTACAAATATTTTATTTACGAACATTCTCAGAATTGTGGCTCAAACTCATTTTCCACTGGAATCTTAAAATAACATGATCATGGTGGCCTATATAACCTCGTTATTTTGACATTTTGGGGATGGAAGTCCCGCCAAGCTGACCAATATTTTTGTAGGCCACCTTTTTTTCCGATTTTGATATCATATTATCTTACGATTCATGAAGAACGCAAATGGTTATTAATGCGTTTTTAGTGCCTAATTAAAGAGACATAGTTTACCGATCTCCAGATTGAAAACGCTTTTCCAAGAATTTCCGTAAATAAAATATTTGTAGGTTACGATTAGACGAAGCTATTTACGAAGTTATAGGCGGATATTGATAACTTGATAAAAAGAAGTCCGTACCATGGAGTGTTATCTTTTTTTCATTTCCAAAAGTTAAATTTCTTAGTGACTGATTTCTATGTAATATTAATTTTTTTTTATTGCCTGACTTTATACTATTTTTAATTTGTTTATACTGAATTCCGTTAATCAATATTTTGAGGTAAATATTTTCTATTAAGATTAATATATAACTAAAGTTTATATAACCTGTCCGAAGAAGAATCAACAAGCTAGTAATTTTTTTAAAAGTCTGTTTCCATTAAAGTTATTTGGAGTAATAAGTTTGGCAAGTTTAAATTAAAAAAAAAGAAAAGAAAAAAAAACATTCTCACCAAAGCAACTATAGGAATGGCCTGGATTAGGATAATTGCAAGAGGACCAAACGGGAACTCGTTCTGAAGTCATTAAGTTAATTGTAGTGTTAGCTCTTATACAAAGGCGGACTTTATGCAACGTCGATAGTCGCTTGTTTCTCCCTCGTTTTGTTTCTTTTCTCGGCTATGTAGTAATTAGTGAAATAAAAATTGAGAATAGTTTATAGATTAAAAATAACTGGACCTGAAAATGCACAAAGTTTTTATCTATATCTTAAAACGTTTATTCATGATTCGACTGATATACAATATATATATATATATATATATATTCCGAACCAATCGTTATCTTCCTTCCTTACACTCTCCTCCGGAGTGGCTCAGGGCTCGAGCATATCTCCTCTCCTTTTTTAATTCCTATATAAATGATTTCAGTAGGAATATTATCGATTCCCGCTGCTTTATATGAAAATTAAAATCATATAAAGCAGCGGGAATCGATAATATTCCTACTGAACTAATTAAGGCATGCGGGGAAGCTGGAGTTTCTAAAATACATCGGTTGGTTAAAAAGATCTGGGTGAACAAGAAATTACCTGAAGAATGGAAAGAATCTATTCTTATTCCGATGCACAAAAAGGGTCCGAGGACGGATTGTAATAACTTTTTTTTTTTAAATTTCTTTATTGAGTATTATAACAATCTGTCTGTTGGACATTGGTTATAGTGAGGTAGGATGACATTCACACCATATGTACAAAAAAATAAAATAAATAGAACAAAATAATAATCAAAAGTATATACAATAGACAATAAAATAAAATAACCTAAAAAATAAGAAAATTAAAACTAAGGAAAAAAAAATAAATAAAAAATAACATGCATACCTATATACAATCAGGCGAGGGAACTCCAGGAGAACCCTGCGCTACTCTTCCAACCGCGTCACTGGTAGTAAAGCCAGCGGAGATTGGTCGAGAGCACTTTAGCCACATACACACATGTCTTGAGTGAAGAATCTGGCCATTGCCAGAACTCCAATTTATATAATCTACAAAAGGTCGCGAGGCCACTGCCGTTTCAACCTTCTTGGAGGATTATAGGGATGGGAGATGCTTGATAGGGATTGTGCAAGAGGATTTGGGTGGTAAGTAAGGTTCTTGTGAAATTTGGAGAATTTTTCTGGGATAAGGTCTAGGACAAATGGGATGTTAAGGTCATGATGTAGGGTTTTGTTGGATACATAGAAAGGAGCATCGACTATTGTTCGAAGGACTTTAGACTGGAAGGATTGGATGCGCTTGATGTTAGAAAATTTTGCTGATCCCCACAGTTCTAGTCCGTAAGTCCAAATAGGTTTCAGTATTGTCTTGTAGATCAGTAGCTTGTTTTCAATGGAAAGTTTAGATTTTCTGCTTAGTAGTCGGTATAGTTGGCCGTATCGTCGGTTGAGTTCTTGTCTTTTGAGTCTAGTATGCGGGTTCCAAGTTAGTCTTCGGTCTAAATGAAAGCCAAGATACCGGACTGTGTCTGAATAAGGAAGCTGGATGGAATTAAAGAGTACTGGTGGACAGGAATTGCGTCGGAGTGTAAAGGTAAATAACTATCGAGGAATTTCACTCCTTCCGGTATGTTATAAAATATTCACTTCAATCTTAACCAGTCGAATCACGGAATACGCCGAGGAAATTATCGGAGACTACCAATGCGGATTTAGACGGAATCGTTCGACTATTGATCAAATATTTTCTTTACGGCAAATATTAGAGAAAAAATTGGAGTACAACGGTATTGTTCACCAGCTGTATATAGATTTTAAAAAGGCTTACGATTCTATTGACCGCCAGAAACTGTATAATATTCTAATCGAGCAGGGGATTCCTAAAAAACTAGTAAATCTAGTCAGGATGTGCTTGACGGAGACACTCAATATAGTTAGAATCGGTAATAATTTGTCCGAAAAATTTGAGGTTCGTTCGGGCTTAAAACAGGGGGATTCTCTTTCGCCTGTCCTGTTCAATTTGGCATTAGAACATGCCATTAGGGAGGTAATGCGAACCGAGAAAGGGTTGGATCTGGGTGGGACAACATCCGTGCTGGGCTATGCTGATGATCTGGTACTGTTAAGCGAAGATGTTGAAACTTTAAAACTAAATACGACAACGTTAATGAAAGCCGGTAAAGAACTAGGACCCGAAATAAACGTGGATAAAACAAAATATATGGTTAGCTGCAAAAATGGCGATACTACTGGTGATATCGATATAGATGGTAATATGTTTGAACAGGTAGATAAATTTAGGTATCTAGGTTCAACGATAACTAAAAAAAACGAAATTGAAGAAGAGATTAAGGTTAGACTGAAGGCGGGAAATGCTTGTTATTTTTCTGTGACAAAACTACTTAGTTCGCGCCTCTTGTCCCGAAACTTAAAAATTAGAATCTATAAAACAATTATCTTGCCTACAGTCCTTTATGGATGCGAAACTTGGCCGCTTACATCAAGGGATGAGTAGCGTCTTAAGGTTTTTGAAAATAAAGTATTGCGTAGAATATTCGGACCGAAGAAGGATGAGTTAACCGGAGAGTTCAGACGGTTACACAACGCCGAATCGCGTGAGCTGTATCCGGGTAATATAATTGAGGTAATTTCATCGCGGCGAATCAAATGGGCTTATAAAGTTGTTGGGCTTAGTAACGAGAGAATTCCTAAAAGGTTAATATTTGCTATGCCGAATGGTAAGCGTCCGAGGGGTAGACCGAAGCGAAGGTGGGAAGATTGCATTAAAGCCGATCTGAAGGGACTGGGTTACGACAGCGAACGGTGGAGGGAGGTGTGTAACAAGCGATTGGTGGTGTGGGCATCGAATCTTCGGGTTCGCTAAGCCTTATTATTATTATTATTATTATATAAATGATTTTCCCAATTCTATCGACTACTGTTCACACCATCTATACGATGACGACTTTTAAATCTATTTATCCTTTCACCCTTCTGAGATATCAGATGCGTTCGCCAATATATAGGCGTACCTAGATAGGATCAGTGCCTGGGCAAGCTTTAATAATTTAAGGCTAAACGCGATGAAATAGCAGGCCATTGTTGTAGGCAGGGGTGCCCATCCTCCCCAAGGCCGATGATGCTAAAACCTGCCCCTCCCCCTCCCAAGATATTTTATTGCTCACCTTTTCATAACAAACAGAGCAAGTGAAGGTACAATTACAAAAATCGTAAATGGTACACAATTACACTTGCTGCTACGACCTGTTCCATGTTTTCCCCCTTCTCCCTTAGTCCGAAAATTCATAACACTGTCGAAATTTTTCCCCTTCAAAAATTCAAAAACCAGTCAAAATATGATCCCTCAAAAATTTCGATGCGAAAAAAGCGCCATGAAACCCCCTTCTTGGCACTCTGGTTGTAGATTTCGGTTCTCTCCTTAAATCCAACCCCTTCCTTCCTCTTTCACATTCAGCTCCTCAGTTAAAAATCTAGGAATCACCATTGACCAAATCTCTCATGAAAACCCCACATCGCCCTCATCTGCCGAAGGTCAATAGATATCCTGAAGTTCTTTAATCGATCCCATCATCTATTCCCATAACCTATCCGCAAGCTCCTTATTTTCTCTATTATTTCTCCCCATTTTGACTTCAGCTGTGTGGTGTACGGTAGCATCCCGATGGTTCTCGAGGACAGAGTGAAGCGACCCATGCCCATCTATACGATGAGTTAAAGTGGCCATTCCCTTTTTTTCCTTATAATTACTTGGATCTTAGATATTCCAAACGATCAACTCCCGGCGCCCTTCATCTACAGTCTCCTAAAATTCAGGCCCGTAGTTCACTCACAGAAAACAAGAGCCGTGTCGAAACATTATATCCCTTCCCATAGAACTAAAACATTTGAACATTCCTTTATTATCCGATCCACTGCCTTCTGGAGTTCTTTGCCACCTGATATCCGCCATGCTTCTTTGTCCTCATTCAAATACCTTCTTTACCAATTCCTTCTCACCTTCCAAAATGAGGCAGTAGAATCATGAAATAAATTTTGACTCGAATTTAGATTGAACAGAACGGTTGTTTAAATTATTTAAGATGTAAGTTTAAAACTCTACTCATAATTTTTACAACGTTTTGTTTGTTATTTTTCCTGATTTCTGTTTATCTTTTTATTTCAATTATTTTTTCTATTTTCTCAAAATGTTTTACTTTCTGTTCTGTATATATTGTCACTGAAGAGACTGTTTATATTGTTTAATTTTTACTAATGTAGTATTTAGCCAGATATGGTTTTTTGTTTTTTTGTTATTCTTCCAATTTTTGAACATGTTATTGATCATGTCCCAGAATAAAGTTTATTTTTTATCTATGTATTTAGCTATATATTTTTTTATTATTTTTTTTTAATAAGATGTGAGCGTGATTGCTCACTATATCAAGCAATGGCCCAGATTCGATTCTGACTATATCTAAAATTGATTTTCAGTTGTATCAACCGTGGATCTAATCTGTAATCGGTACTTTTAGGAGGGAAAAATTTCAACGCCAGAAAACGGGAGCCTTTCGATTTGAAGGAAAAAACAGACGATTTATAGTGATTTCTACTTTTCCAAATAGCTTTTTATGATTTTTGATTCCTTTTTGGATTTAAAATAGCATCATTAATCACAATCGAATCAATTTGGTTACTTAAGAGCAAACGATCAAAATGTAACAAAAATGGTCTGTGTGTGTGTGTGAACAGCCAAGCACAAAAATTAAAAGTCGTACAAAACCTAAATTAGGTATTTAAAGTAACTAGTAACTTTTCCACCAAAATTAACTAACCATATGTGACACTTCATACCATCAGATCTAAAGATTTTGATTAAAATCGTAAAATCAAGTTATCTTTATTAATCAAGTTAATAATCGATAAATATTCCCTCATCGAAATATTCTTTCCGGGCTTAAATGCTAAATTTTCAAAATATTTCCCTCCAAAGTACACTTAATTTTGTTTATTTAAAAAAATAACGATTTCATATTGTTGTTAGTAACAAAAAATGGTTAAACATAAACTACGAAAGTATTTAATAATTAAGTAAAGGAGAAAAAAGGTTTGGAAACGAAGGCCGTATGGATGGCCGCATGAACCTGATTCAGTTAATCAAATGCAATTGGCCAAATATTCAACATGTGTATGAAACCGGCATGTAAAATCCAAATTTAACACGACTAGACCTTAAATAAGTAAAGGTATTCTCCGGTGCTACAGAGAATTTGCTATAATTTAAATACGTTCTGATAAAACCGAAATAATTTCAATGCCTTTTGTTATTTGTGCAACTACAAAAAGGTATGGCGATAAACTGTTAACAAAAATTACTTCAGAGAGATCAGGCTAACTTGCAACATCATAACTAACCAGTTACATCCTAGCTATCTTTATACAAGTTACCTCAACATTATATTGTTTAAAGGTCCATTGTTTTCATTTTCCCACAAGATAAAACAAATATACACATTTTTTTTTTTTTAACTGATAAAATATATGTTTATAATAAACACACTTTGAAAATTACGTGATTTGTTGAACATGACTTTTGAGGAATACTGAATGTTTTTTTATATTGAAACCAAATTTTTAATGCGCCATTAGTTATTTTTGCTGTTTTTTAATTAAATGATATTTTTGGAAGCCTGAAGAAGAGGAGAGAACCTTACTCCAATTCCATTACACAGAGTGGCCATGTCACACCTGCCCATTTTCAAATGCCATTTTGGAATTCAGAAGGAGAATGCGAGCAGTTGGTACCAAAACGAAGGACGGAGGACCAATTGTTGTTCACTGCAAGTAAGCAATATCGATTATAAACAGAAGTAAGACGAAAATAAAAACTACTTATACTTATATTTTTTCTTTTCTTTTTTAGCGATGGCGGTGGACGATCAGGAGTATATTTAGCTATAGATGCAAATCTGGAACTGTCTGAAGAAGAAGATTGTTTTGACGTGTTCAGATATTTGAAAATATTAAGGCAATCTCGTAAAGGCATGATTGAAACTTTGGTAAGTCAAAACCACAGGCGGATATACGGAGGGGTCATTCGGGCTGAACTACTCCCCCCCCCCTCTCCATAGCCCAAATAACAAATATAATGAGGAATAACAAGGCCTAATAATAAATAAGAAGTAACACTAAAAGTAGAGCGATGGCTAAAAGTAGATTAAAAGATAAAATTAACTTTAATATAAAATAACTACATAACAGAGGTATTCTGTATAATAATAAACAATGTATAATATTAAGAAAATAATTAAAATAAAATAAATGGAGCGAATCAATAAAAATTAATAGTAGACATGCCTTAAATTGTTTAACATAATCAAGGGTGCCCATAAGGGGGTTTCATTGCGCAAGTTGCGCCATCAAAATATTTTGACAGGTTTTTGAATTTTTGAGGGGGGAAAATTTTGACGCGGTTATGCATTTTCAGACTAAGGGACAAGAGGAAAACTTGGAACAGGCCACAACAAGTGTAATTGTATATGATCTACGATTTTTCTAATTCTATCTTAGCTTGCTTTGTTTTTAAGAAAAAGTGACAAATAAAATATCTTGGGATGAGGGGGGGGGGGTGGTAGGCCCTTGCGCCATTGACCTTAGGGGGGATGGGCACCCCTGAACATAACTCTTTACTTTTGACCACTGTCCTGAATATCTTTTCCTAAAAAGTATTTTTAATGAACCCTAGAATCTTTTTTTGATTTGTGGTTATGAATAACAAAAAACTATCAGACTATTTAATGTTAAATAAGAATCCATGACCAAAATAACCCAAACAACCCTATGTTACATCAAGAAATAGCATAATTTTTTTTTTAATATACTCTTTCTATATTCTTCCTTATTAGCCATTTTAGATTTATACACTTTTCTTATTTCTTCATCAAACTTTAATCTTAAAAAAGCCAAATTAATATATAATATTATCTATTTTAAATTAACTTGGCTTTTTCCCCATAATTTGTATAATGTGCAGCAAAGAATAAAATAAATGTTCATTTTTATTTTTTCTTTAAAACTAAAAAAAATGATACAATAGTAAATATTTTGTCATTTTCAGGATCAGTATAAATTTGTATATGATACTTTAGAAGAGTATGTTGTTTGTGGTGTTTCTTGGTTTCCAGTCAAAGAACTTTCTCAGAGGCTTAAGCAAAAATCTATCAAAAATCCTATAACCAAAATGAATGAATATCAGCGAGAATATCAAGTGAGTATTTATTTACGCATCTAAAATACTAAGACTTAACTATTATATTCACTAGTTATTTGTATTTCTCCACAATCATAGCAGGAATGGAAGCCTGGAGCTTTATTCACCAAATTTCCAAGATACAGATTAAAAAAATAAAATAAAATCCTTATAAGATTACAACACAAACAAGTTCTTGGGTACAGTACTTTGTAAGGAAAATAGGCCAATGGTTGTGCAGGAAAATGATTAGACGGGATCATGCTCAAACCAGTGGCGGATCCAGGAATTGTCTCAGGGGTGGCGCACCTCTGTACCAGGTGCTTCCCCACCCCTACCCGTTCCGTCACCACTACCCATCTCCCCCCACTCGTTAGCTGAGTTTAGCCACTCAAAAGCCCTCTTTAAACGGTTTTAACAAAAGCAAACTCTAATTACATTTTAAGATCCTACTGAAACGAATCCTACCTATAATTGAATCCTATAACCTTCCTACTCATCAATTCGGATTTCATTCCCAACATTCCACTGTCCAGCAAGGACTCCGAGTTGTTGACCATATATCCTCAACCCTAGAAAGCAAGCAGTATTGCTCGGGTGCATTTCTGGACATAGCGCAAGCTTTTGACCGGGTATGGCACGCCGGATAACTCTTCAAGCTTAAAATCCATCTACCACAGTCCTTATACCTAGTACTCCGATCCTATCTTTCCGACCGCTCCTTCCGAGTTCGCTGTGGCACCGAATTCTCCGACTGTTACTCAATTGAGGCTGGCGTTCCTCAAGGCAGCGTCTTGGGCCCCATCCTTTACATTCTCTTTACCGCTGATATTCCTGTCCATCCCGATACCCTCCTGGCAACTTTCGCTGATGACACTGCTATCCTTTCTTCCAACTCAGATCCTGAAACAGCGTCCGCAAACTTACAAAGGCACCTCTTCTTGATTGAACACTGGTGTAAGAAATGGCGCATTAAGGTAAACGAATCTAAATGTAAACACATTACCTTCACCCTTCGGCGTAATACCTGCCCACCAGTTTATTTTAACTCCATCCAGCTTCCTTTCTCAGATACAGTCCGGTATCTTGGCTTTCTCTTAGACAGACGACTAACATGGAATCCACATACTCGACTTAAAAGACAGGAACTTAACAGACGATATGGCCAGCTATATAGACTACTGAATAGAAAATCTAAACTTTCTGGTGAAAACAAATTACTGATCTACAAGACAATACTGAAACCCATCTGGACTTATGGACTAGAACTATGGGGAACAGCCAAATTTTCTAACATCAAACGCATTCAATCCTTTCAGTCTAAAGTCCTCCGTACAATAGTCAATGCTCCCTTCTATGTAACCAATAAAACCCTACACCATGACCTTAATATCCCATTTATTCTTGATCTTATCCCAGCCAAATTTTCCAAATTTCACCAGAACCTTTCTCATCACCCAAATCCCGTTGTACAATCCCTATCAAGCACCACCCATCCCTACAATCCCCTTCGTATGTTAAAGCGGCAGTGACCACGAGACCTTTTATAAATATGGATATTTTGGAGTTCTAGCAATGGCCAGATTCTCCACTCAAGTCATGAGTGTCTGTGGCTGTAGCGCTCTTACTCATCCTCCGCTGGTTTAAAATACCAGTGAAGTGGCTGAGGGAGAAGCGTAGGGATCTCCTAAGCCTCCCTTTTCCCTCCACATGTGGAGGGGACAGGATTGGTTCGGAGATCACCTGGCAAATTGTAAATAATGTATGTTTTATATAAGGTGTTTGTTTTACTTTTATTTCTATTTTTATTTACTTATGTGTATATATATATTTTTTTTTTCTTTACTCTTTTGTTCTTTCTTCTTATTCTTTTGTTATTACTTTATTTATTTATATGTTTGTATATACGGTATGAATGCAATCTCTGAACTCTATTATAAGTGTCCTTAACTGTGACAAATTGTAATATTTCTGAATAAAGTGTTTTAATAATAAAAAAAAAAATTACATTTAAAGTAAATATTGTCTATGAAGCAATCGTTAATTAATTAAATTAAATAGTTTTGTTGTTGTCTTCCTATTCAATAAAAAACGTGGCTTACTTAAAAATCACAAAACTTTAATTTCCTACTTTCCTGCTGAAAATCGAACCATTGTTTATATAAACTTTTTTTGTATTTCTTGAGGTCTGCTATGATATGATTCTTTTAAATACTTCCCTCTACTTACGTGAAACCCTGTATATGGGTTTAGTCATGTAAAAAATAAAATTGCTATTAACCAAGAGAAAACTTTCTAGAGCCAAAATATCCAGATTTATCTGATCATTTTTTTCATGGATTACTACTAAACAGTGCATCAAAGCGAAAAACGTATTCTTTAAGAAATTAAAGAACGCCAAATTGTGCGTCGAACGAGTACCTAACTTAATAATTTGATTAAGTGATATGGTCGATAACAACAGTAAATGAACGGTAATTTTTACCAACATTGTCAAAATCTGAGACAGATTACTATAAATGGCCTTGCAGCTTGGAAACGGAAGTTCTCTAAGAAAAAAACTCAGAATAATTTCCAAATCCGGTCATAACCAGATTTCGATCAAATCAACGACCAAATAATCAACACCTTCCTTCGTGAAAACGTTCCCAACAGCAGCTATTTTAAGAAAAGAACATTACTTTCAGTTTTCCTTCATGAGTGTCTGTGGCTGTAGCGCTCTTACTCATCCTCCGCTGGTTTAAAATACCAGTGAAGTGGCTGAGGGAGAAGCGTAGGGATCTCCTAGGCCTCCCTTTTCCCTCCACATGTGGAGGGGACAGGATTGGTTCGGAGATCACCTGGCAAATTGTAAATAATGTATGTTTTATATAAGGTGTTTGTTTTACTTTTATTTCTATTTTTATTTACTTATGTGTATATATATTATTTTTTTTCTTTACTCTTTTGTTCTTTCTTCTTATTCTTTTGTTATTACTTTATTTATTTATATTTTTGTATATACGGTATGAATGCAATCTCTGAACTCTATTATAAGTGTCCTTAACTGTTACAAATTGTAATATTTCTGAATAAAGTGTTTTAATAATAAAACTTTCAGTTTTCAGTGATCAGTTTTATGAATAGCATCGATTCTGGAAATAGACTATAGTTTCTGGAGGTTGCAATGCATCCAGATCTTTTGGAACTGAATAAAACCTGGGTTTGAGAGAAAAACTGTATTTTCTTGTGCTCGAATAAAAGGTTATTCGAAAGAATAAATGGAGTTCAGTTTTTTTTTTTATTAATTTTCCTCCATCATATATTTCACCTGCTAGACTTAGTTCGGAGTCAGTAGGAACAACTGCGACAGGAGCATAAGGCTTCTCTGCCCACGGAGGCCCAAAACCTACATCAGTTCACCCTACGAGCCAACTTTTACTCTTACAGTCTATTCTTTGTTTCACAAAATCTCGGCGCACGCAAAAGGCCGGGCGCATGTTGATCCACAACCTGGTGAGATAAAGTGATATAATGGCAAACCGTAAGATTAATAAAAATGGTCGTGATATTATTTTTTTTTTAATATTACCTTAGAAAATTCGTAAATAGGGATGAATTCTATCTATATTACTCTTTTCTTTAAATAGGTGTTTTTTGGAACTTTTTGTCCACCTTCCGGAGTGAGGATCGCCGCCCCCTTGCAGAATTCACTAGTGCTGGTCACAACAAAAAATTTTTATATGTTACATTAGAAAATCCGTCTATGAGGACGAATTTTCCCTATATTTCTCTTTTCATTAAACAGCTGCTTAAAATATTAGTTTTCGAAAGGAAGGTCCATCGAAAGATATTTGGCCCAGTTAAGGAGAATGATGAATGGAGAATTAGACTCAACCAAGAACTAACCAACTTATACAAGGAGCCAGGTGTGGGACAATATACCTGAATAGCAAGGCTAAGATGGGAGGACCAAGTTGTACGGATGGACGAGACCTCAATCTCAAAGAAGCTGCTGAGTATGGAGCGGATGGAAAACGAAAAGTGTGCATACCGAAACTGAAATGGAAAGATGGAGTAAGTGCTGATGTCAGAATCCTTGGAATCAGGCACTAGCGGAGGCTGCTCAGGACAGAGAAACCTAGAGGAAAACTCTTGAGGCAGCCAAGATCCATTAATGGATTGTCGAGCTCGAGATGATGATGATGAAAACATTAGAAAATTCGTCTTAAAGGATGATTTGTTTCTATATTTCTCTTTTCTTTAAATAGCTGTTTTGGAACTTTTTTCCACCATCCAGAGGGATGCGCCCCCCGCGTACTCCGGCTGGATCCGCTAGTGGCTCAAATACCAAGTTTTTTTGTCTTAATCAATCAATTAATTAAAATTAATTATCTTTATAGTGACTGGGTGTGCCCCAGGAGGGTCTTCTGACCCCAGGGTCAATCCACAGCTGATTAAACAGAAGAAATAATTATCTGTCACAGCTGGACCTGCGTCCTTGAGGAGCTCAGTACTTTGCCCACTGAGAAACCCCGCTCCCGAGCAGTTTACCTACAAGCCTTAAGCAATTTTGTAAAATTATTATTAAAAGATAAATCACACTAATTACAAAAATAAACTGATCTACAAAAATGTAGCAATACTTAAAAAAGTCCCTTTATATGTTTCTATACCACTCTTTTTTATGTTTTAAATACCTTTATGTAAATTGACAATATGCTTTTTAAGATTACAAAATGTTTGGGAAAAAAAGGTTAACAAGTTTATAAATGCGGACTGCCCAGAGAATTAGCATCTGCAAAAAATCATTCTAGGTATATTGATGAGTTGATTTTTATCGAAACCCAAAAGTTATAAGTTTGAATCTAATTTTGGCGATTCCATAACAAAAATAATAATTAAAAATTAATTAAGTAAATTTAAAAAAAAATGTGTAGCCCTCTCCCCAGTAGTAGTGCCTGTGCACACATAATTAATAATGATAATGAATTGATGATTTTCAAATACTATTCGTTATATCTACACTTAATATTTATGAACCGCTGAATTTCTTAAACTATTGAATGTTTATAATTCAATTTTTATTCCTGTTACAGCAAATATGTAAAATGACCCCGAGGTTCACTATAGGCGATTGTGCTGGAGGTCACAGAGGCGACAACAGAGAAAAGAATCGTGATGTCTTAATAGTACCTCGTAAGTACACACAATCAATGAAAATGTGATTGCCGTAAATTATTTTAAATTTTTAACATGAATTGCAGCATAAACCATCAAACAATGAAAATCGGACATCTTTAAGTTAATGATTTAATATATCATTTTACTGCTTTGCTCAATTCTATAAAGTGATCATGATTTATTATTTTATTTTCATAATTGATTGGATTACAATTAAAAGATTCAAAACGTTTATTGATATTTTGATAACTTTGATTGATCTACGAATCTATTAATCTGGGTCCCTACATCTCTGTACTTCGGTTATAGGACATCAAATCAGCATACATAAAACCATTTATTTCATTTGAGATATGAAGAAAACAAAATTAAATACAATTTTAAAATAATACAAAAACATTAATGTTTTATTTTTGAAAATTAAATACAATGCTTTCAAAACCTCTCTTTTCTCTTTTCCTAAATTTTAATTATTATTTATTTTCATAATTATTGCAATGCCCAACTAAAAAAAAATCTGAATGTTTCCTAACCCTAATGAGCTAGTGCTTAATTCCTAACTTACTAATCTTGAATTGAAAAAATGAATATGGCAATGTTCATACTGTAGCTAACACTGTAGATAGTTCAGATGTAGCTTGCTAAGCACTGATTCATTCCAACAGTCCTCATAACTCCATTGGAGAAATGTCAGTGGAGTCTCATTCCAGGTAAAATGTACTTCAGCAACCCAGAATGATAATTTTCAAGCAGTTCGTTGGAACAAACTGAGGATAGTTATCGTTTCTCCTGTTGACGAGAAATCCATGCACCAAACCTTTGAATACTTTCCAAGATGCCTTTTCTTTTTCTTTCACTGTTTGATCAAAGTTAGCAACTTTGAAAACATCACGAATTGGAGGTCCGACAAAGATTCCTTCCTTGACCTTAGCATAAAAATCCCTCTTAAAAGCCTTTCTCTGGTCCATAGCTTTAACTAAGCTACTCATCTATTTCAGCTTGATGTGAAAGGGAGGGAAGAAAAAGTTCAGTTTTCGAATAAACATAAGACTCACTTTTGAGATTTTTTATCAGGTTTTTTCCTGATGTTTCATCTCATTATATAACTAAAAATCCAATAATAATAATAAAAACTGCATAGTTCAAACAAACATCAAACAACCTTCCAGTACTCAACATCCCACAACCCAACAATTATGACTCAGTCACTACACAACCTTATCTCAGAAACAAGGGCTAATTAATTTTATTTTCTCATGAATTTTGTGTTCACCAAGTAAACATACATTGGTTAAACCTATATTTTAAAACATTTTCTTTGTTAGTAAGTTTTAATATTTTTTGGTAAAATATTTTTTTTCCAATTATTTTCAAAAATTTAATATTAATAATACTTTTTTTTCAGCTGATAATTTCAGACCTTATTTGACATCTTTCCAAGGAAACAGTTTTACAGACTACATAAACGCTGTATTTGTTGATGTAAGTAGAGTCTTCATAAATATTATTTCATTTAATAATATAATAACTATTTAATATTTATCATTAAAAATCATGTTAAAAAAATTATATATATATATATATATATATATATATATATATATATATATATAATAAGAATTATTTAATATTTATCAATAAAAATTATATATATATATTGTAATATCTCTTGTTTTACTAATAATAAAACTCCTGTAAAATCACTTCATATTATTGTGATACTTCCAAACAAAATAAGAGGTTGTTAAATAAAAAAATGTATAAGAATATTAATATTAAACTGATCCTTTATCAATTGAAAAATTGATTTTGCTTAACTCATCAGTAACAGTTTGCTTCTCGTCACTTTCTGAGTGACCAAAGGGAGTTTTCTAACTCACTGTAGTTTCTTGAACTTCAGTTACATTTGCAATAATTTGGGTTCCTAGGTTTTCACAATCTTGTTTCAAAATTTCTGGTTAATAATTAGATCCTAATATATGATCTTCAAATTTTCTTTTATCAAATTATCTATTTTTTATCCAAATCATTTTAAATATCAACTTCAGTTTCATCTAATTGGTTTTATCGATTTTTATCTAAATTATGAAGCATACCCATTAATTGTTGAAGCATATTAGACCGTGGTACAGACCCCTTTTTATCGAATTATTAACATCCGCCTGAAACTTCGTAAATAGTTTCATCTCATCGTAACCTACAACTATTTTATTTACGAAAACTCTTAGAATTGGAGCGTTTTCAATCTGGAGGGGGCAAACTTTGTCTATTTAATTAGGTATTAAAATCTCGTAAATACCCATTTGCTTTCTACTTGGATTGTAAGATAATTTGATCACAAAATAGAGGAAAATGCGGCCTTCAAAAATGTTGGGGCTCTTGGCGTGACCTACATCCCCGTGAATTTTCAATTATATAGGACAAACGGCCAATATTTTTGTATTTCGCCTTTATTATCGATTTGGTGATCAAATTATCTTGCGACCCAAGCAGAAAGTAAATGGGTATTTACTAGTTGTTAATACCTTATTAAATAGACAAAGTTTGCCCCCTCCAGAAAACGCCCCTATTCCAAGAGAATTCGTAAATAAAATAGTTGTAGGTTATGATGAGATGGAACTATTAACGAAGTTTCAGGCGGATGTTAATAATTCTATAAAAAAGGGTCTGTACCACGGACTATATTATTAGTATCAGTACGATTCAAATTTTTGTTACTACTTGTATTTATTTTTTCACCCTCCATATTATTTTCACTGAACTCATGCACTATATTTAATGCTGACAGGCTTTCACTTTCCGAGCAACTATTGTAAAAGTTTTCGGATTGCCTATTTTCATCAAGTATACTTTGTACAACTGCCTCTTCCCCATTTTCTACAATAACAACATCCCCATCAGATATCCCGAGGATCATATTATTAAGGTCTTTACCTTCCATCATCTCTGTCTAGTTATTCTCCATATTTTGAAAAAAAATATTAAGAAAAAACTATAGTATTAAAAAAAATTGTTTCTGTGAGTTATGATCTGTTTTTCATGGCCTAATTTTTAAAGAATAAGGTCACACGTTGTTTGGCGCCAAAATATAATAACTCAAAATTTTTACTAATAATAAAACTCCTGAAAGATCACTTCATATTGTAGCGTTACTTCCAAAAGAAATAAGAGGTTGTTAAACAAAAGACAAAATTATAAGAATATTGACATATTAAACAGAACTTTATAATTATTTTATCTCAAGGTATGGGATACTAACAATCAAATCAAAGCTGTTCACATATAACACTATTTTTATTTGTCACAAAAACTGGCAATCTAGCTTTTTTTTTCCTTAGTTCTACAGACCTTGTAGATCTTTGGCCGCCTGAACCAGCCTTCTTCACCTTCCAGTTTGGGGCATGAAACTCAGGCGTATCTTTGTTTATCCTATCTATTCATCTGGTTTTGGCCTCCCACGTGGTCTCTTGCCTACTACTCTGGCATTCATTGTCGTGTAAAGGCATCCTGATGGATTGCTACGAGCTACATGTCCTGCCCATCTTAACCTCCTTGCCTTCATGTCATGAGATATTGACTGACCCGTTTCTTTCAGCAGTTCTTTATTGTTCCTTCTCCTCCATTTGTCAAGGTTCTGGTCCCATATAGGTCCTGTTATCCTACGTAGAACCTTTCTTTCGAATCTCTCAATTCTGGCTTCTAGTTTGCCGGCTAGAGCCAAGATTTCACAACCGTACAGCAGAACTGGCTTAATCACGGCGTTGTACATCATTATTTTTAGATTTCTGGAAATTTTTCTGGATTTCAGTACCTTTGAAAGGGAGAAGAAAGATCTGTTAGCACTTGTTATTCGCTGGTGTATCTCTGTTAGTTGATCATTTATTGAGGTTATTGTGGATCCGAGGTATTTGACTCTGTCTACGTTCGGGAATGACTTAGAGTCCACGCAGATCATTTAATTAGGGTGGATGTTTCGGCTAACTATCATGTATTTTGTTTTATCTACAGTGACCTGTAGTCCGATTTGCACTGCTTCTTTTAACAGAGTCCGAGCAAGTCTCACAATATCTTCTTTTTTACTTCCGAGGACAGCTATATAATCGGCATATGCTATGATTTTATATTTCATTCCAACGTGCTCCTCTCCATCTTCGCGGGGTTTTCTTCTTATTATACTTTCTCTAGTGCTAAGTTGAAAAGCACCGGCGAGAGACCATCTCCCTGCCTCAATACTTCTCCTTGTATTAGTACCCTACATTTAGGATCATTTGTACATATATATATATATATATATATATATATGGGGCTGGGGTAGCCTTGTGGGCTAAGGCGGTTGCAATAGGTAATCAAAGTTAAGCAACGCCGAGCGTGGCTAGCACTTGGATGGGTGACCGTCCAACAAGGAAAGCCACGCTGCCCGAGATTCTTCTCCCCCCTATCTGGGTATGTGAGGCCCGTCAGCCTACTGGAGGTAACTCACAGCGACCAGGCGTAGGATTGATGACCCTACCCCGTGTAGTTAAATCGGGATTCGGGATGTGGCTTACCAGGATGTTGATAGCCTGAGGTTTGGTACATGGACGGTCTGTTTCGGGGAAAGAAATATAGGTCCTCGTACGCCTGCTGACTCCGAGCAGCAATAATCCATGGATCTAGACCGATTTGTCACTGTCCTTGAACCCGAGTGATTCAGTGGGAAGGACATTGCCAGATTTGCCCCAAAGGAGTCGGCTATGGAACTACGGGTGACCTGCCGCTGCACCATGGAAACCATGGTTCGTAGCGACGTGATGTTGGGTGACCCCATCCATGCTATCTGAGCTCCCGCAAGCGGCATACATCTGTAAGGAAACCGCATCTCGTGACCAAAGTTTTCCATGGTATGTAGTGCCAACCGAAAAAAAAAATATATATATAAAAAAAAAATATATATATATATATATATATATATATATATATATATATATAAAGAAATGAATTTTGTAATTATATTATTATCAAACTGCCATTGCTCTTACATAAACGCTGATACTGAGATTAAATAATATATTTTTTATAAATTGATTAATGTATTACCCTTAGATTATATGCTATAATTTATTCACTTTTCTAAATTGACTGTTAATTTGTTGTTTTGCTTTAGGGATACACTAAACCAAGAGAATATATTGTCACAGAATGGCCACTAAAACACACTCCTGGAGATTTTTGGTCTTTGGTTTATGATTATGAAGCATCAGCTGTTGTTGTTCTATGTATTCTACCTCACAGTTCAGTAAGTTTTTATTACTATAATTTCATTGGTATTATAATTAATAATTAATAGTTTATTAATACATCCCTCATTAATGTACTACAAACAAATAAAATATATTGAAGACTACTAAAATCTTCATTTTATTTCATAACATTTTAAACTACAATATTCTTAAAATGCCGATAGTGAAAATAATTACAGGCAATAGATTATTATTATATATATATTTAATATTAAAGTTCATAGTAATATAAGTAAGAATATATTTTTTTTCCAGTGATTTATTCTCCCATTTATTCCACTCAATTTCATCATTACATCATAACGTTTCAGGGATCACTTATATCCCATCTTCAGACTAGAAATTACAACATATCGCTATCAACAATTATATATGAACAATAAAGCAATTATTAATACAACTAAAAACAACAATAATTTAATTTTTATTTTATTTTGCCAATCTTACCAGTATCCCACATCATCTTAATTCTCCATAAGACTTGTCATGTTAATTAAATTGTTTTATTTTTGTCCTATTGCTAAAAATATAGAAATTTTAAATTTATTTATTTAATTATTACTATTATTATATATATTTTACTGTTTTCAATGTTCAATATATTACCTGGAAATCTTATTTTAGCCTCCTCTAGGGAGAGTCTAGTCAGATACTGAAAATTAAACTTTAAGCAAGGGGTCAAACTCCAATTCTTATATTTATTTTTATATATCTAATTTGTTTATAAAGTAAGCATAGTGACTACCTATTTTGGCCGAAATCGGTTTTAAAATTAATAGCTGTTTTATTATGTTTAATGATGAATATTGACTCTGTTATTTTTTTCTGTATGATGTATGTTTCCTTATATAAAATTTGTGGTTTTACTAAGTTGAACTTATGTCTGTTAGTGAAACTATGACGGGCTAAGGCTGTTTTGTTGTCAGTTTTACTATTTTTTGTAGCATTAAGATGCTGATTCATCCTTTTTTCCATATTTTGTCTTGTTTCATCAATATATGTCGCTTCACAATTATTACAATCCACGTTGTATACTACGTCTTTTTGTTTCAATTTATTTAACATATCATTCATTGGACTTAGATATCTATTCGTCTTTTTTTGATTATATAAACCGGTGTTTATCTCGCAATTATTTTCATTAAATACTTTTTTTTTATTTTATGTGTTAAAGAAGGGATGTAATTTAACCTATAATATTTTTTTATTATTTTTTGTTTTCCAGACTAATTTATTTGTTTGTTATGATTATCTTTTATTTCATTGATTTTTTCTGTAACTATATATATCATTAGATGTAAAAAAATCTTTTATGGATTTTTGATTAACTTTCATTTTATTTTGCATTTTTTTATTATTGGTTGATGGTTGTAAGTTTTGGTTATTTTCAATTTTATCAAAAGATTTTTTTGTATTATCTCTTTGATTATTAATTTGGAACTACATTTTTTTAATAATTGGTTTAGGGAACATATTTTCAATCAAGATCTATTAAATTTTTGTTTTTATTTCTTTTTTGTATTTTTCATCAGTGATTTTACATGCCCTGCCAATAAGATTTTTTGCTGTATTTATGATTTGATATTTTGGGTGTTGGCTATGGAAATTTAATAGCCTATTGCTTGTTATGGTTTTTTTAGTCCATTTTGTGTTGAGAGTATTATCATTATTTTTATTAATCATAGTGTAATTTGACAATGGAAGAGCTAAGTGGAAGAAAATATTACAAGACATATATGTTATTAGTCCAGTCAATGAATGCTCGAAAAGGGAGTTTAGAAGGAAATGTTGGCGACACAATTTTTGAATTTGGGACATTCTTTGAACTAGAAGGAGGTAAACATATTAAAAGTCCCCACTACTAGGTGGTGAGCCAGATATGGTGAGGGGACACCTAGTAGGCCAATAGCACAGATATTAAGCTACTGTAGCTTAATGGATGGTGCTGAGACTGTCGGTGTGTCCCTGGCCTGAGGTATCGAGACTCTATTTTAAAACTTTGAAGAGGATCCCATTGTTAACTTGAAAAAAAAAATGATCAAAACGTAGAATAAACAGTAGTAGCAATGAAAATTTAGTAGTTTATTGAATAATTATTAAGTGACCTTATTCCCAATTAAATAATTATGTTAAAACATAATACTCAAAGGTCGATTGAAGAAATTTTGTAAATATATATATATACATATAAAACAAAATAGAAGAGGAGAGTTAAAAAATAGAATTGCTAGTTAAATTAATCATTAAAGCAAACATTGTTAACTAACAAAAAATAAATAAATCACTACTTCTGTTATTAAAAGAATGTGTAACTAAATAAACATAATTGTTTAGAAAATGGTATTAAATTAATAAAAAGAATAGTTACCTGTACCCAAGGACTCTGTGCAAAGTTATAAGAAACATAGATTCATATTTATTCCAAAAAATAAATAAATCCTTATTACATAATACATATTTAGCCAGTATATGAATGAGTTGTGAAGAATCAACAGAAAAATAGAATTTCAAATATGCATAAGGGGAGGGTATGGAAAAGTTTAAAATGGATAAAATTCGAAGACGTTGTGAAGGTTGTTTATTTATTAAGAAGATTCTTATAGATACTTCTTAAGAAAGAAGAACTGAGCTCCAAGATTGAAATTTAAAACCTATCTAGAATCTTGGAAAATATTCTTAAATAATAATAATGTGTGTATGTGTATAAACAGAAACATTATACATATATCCATGCTTGCAATATACTCATAGTCCAAGAATAGCAGAGGATAAGCTCTACAAGAAATACTATCCAAAGATCCTTTGAGGGCTTTTCTCAGAGTATAAACAATCCTATATGAGCTAGCTATTTTTCCTTTGACAATTATTTAAAATTTATTATTTTTATGCTGTCTTGCTGTCTAAATGGAATTTTTTATAGCAATGTTCATATATATAATGTATATGAGAAGGAGTTAGTCGAGGGTGCGGTCAAATAAATAAAAAAATTAAAATATATTAATTATTTTAATTTTTGCCGACGTTTCGACCCACTTTGCAGGTCGTCTTCAGGGCGTAGGATGTGGCACTGCGGGAGGCAGTTGAAACACTCAGCTTTGAGTGTTTTCATATATATATATATATATATATATATATATATATATATATATATATATATATATACATATATGTGTGTATATATATATATATATATATATATATATATATATGTTATTAGATTATGTTTCCTTTGAAAAGTAAACAAAACACTTTCTGAATAAAATCATATTTATTTTACACAATAATTATTTCTCAGGTTGGGTTGAGACAACTAACACACATTCCTCAAATATATAATACAAATGCATGCATTAATTTTACAAGATATATTTATGAATTTCTATTCTTTTGTCAGGGTCTAATCTTGGAGCGCTTTCGAACTCACTATTTATATTTCACTCACCCTGTTTTGCAGTAAATCTTCCTCTATATTGTTGTTTTCAACTTCTACAATCTTTTTTCAAGCTTCTATTCTTCCTTTGTTGACACTGACTACTTGTGGGTCACATGTCATTATTTTTAGTCTCGATCCCCTTTCCTAGCCGGCTGGCTACCTTCTGCCTTAACATATGGCACTTGCTTCCCCTTCCATCTGTCTATGTCCGTTTTTGACAGTAGTTCGTGATGTCACTACCTTCGCGCCACTATTCAAAATCACTATGCAATATTTTTTTTAATATGTACATACATATAAAATTTATGTAAACCTTCCAACCATCTCTTTTTCGGGTGACTTCTCTTCCTCCTTTCCAATTGTACATGCTGAAGTATTCTTTTAGACCATCAGCCATCCGTCATTCTCATTACATGCCCGAACCAACTCATCTTTTTTGTCTCAATAGAGTACAGGATGTTGATTGATTCATTCGCTTTATTTATAATAACATTATTTTGAATATTTTGTAGTTTTGATATTCTATAGCTACCAATGTTCATAAGCATAAGCATAACAATGTTCATAAATTAACAAATTCTCACAGATCTTGATTATTTCAATGAGGTGAATTTTTAAACTCGATATAAAACTGTTCACTTTAAATTATTGAGTGTGAACTTTTAGAATTAAAATTAAAAAAGAAAAATAAATAAATATTATTCAGTTTAAAATTTATCTATTATTACATTTCTCTTTGTTTCAGCAATACCCACCTTTTTGGCCAGAAGGAAGGCATTCTAAGAAATATGGGCCTGTTTTTACTATAGAGCATATTTCTCACAACCATTATACAAATATAAAAACTTGGCTCATGAGGATTAATAAAAAGGTGTGTTTTTCTCTTTAAAATAAATTATGTTTCTTGTAATAAGAGTTTTGATATAAAAATAAAAAGCCTCAAATCCTGACAAAAAATAAGTTCAATAAAATAATTGATCTTCTTATATTGATATATATATTAAATTATCACTAAATTATGAGAAGGAGTTAGTCGAGGGTGCGATCAAATAAATAAAAAAATTAAAATATATAAATAATTTTAAATTATTTAAATTTTAAAAAATTTAATATTTAATATTTAATATTTAAAAAATTTAAATTTTAAAATTATTTATATATTTTAATTTTTTTATTTATTTGACCGCACCCTCGACTAACTCCTTCTCATATCATATCAACGGTCAACCATCTCTACATCATTATCACTAAATTAACTCTCTTATATTTATTGGATATTGTTAATCACATTATCTTAGGACTGTAGTTACTTTAATGACATATATTCAATTATTCTAAAAATAATAAATTAGCTCAATACCTTAATTGTTCTAAAACAACTTTTAAAGTCTTGGAAATGAAACTTTTCTTGGTTTTTCATAAATTAGTGCTAGTTGTTTCACTATTAAAACAATCATCAGAGATCAATGTTTACCCAGATTTGATTTCTGAAGTTACCATTAAGAAAAGATTTTCTAGAAAGATTAACTGTGGAATGGAGTCCAATCAACCTCATAAGGGAAACTGCATTCATTCTTAAATAAAGTAGTTTGATTTGATAAAAAAAAATAAGTCAAGGAATTTTTAGGAAATATTTTTAGGATAGACTATGCATTCCTGCTTGCTAACCAACTAATATAAAAAATAACAAATATTAATAGTATTATTAAATTCTTTAAGTATTGAGTATATATATTTATTCGATTAGGAAGAAATGTAATGGTAAAGGATTCACTTTATGATCTAGTCAATCATAAATATAATAGAAATAGAAATAGAAATAGAAATAGAAAAATAATTTTATTCTGGGACGAAGTCCCTTCAGAATAACAAAAAAGTACAGAAATTAAAATTTTACATCTGGCCAGATAAAAACAAACATAACAAATTAAGATAATGATAGGTCATTAAAGAAAAAAATATTGGTTATACATACTATATACAAAATAAAAAAAAATCTATATAAAAAACTCTTGAAACCATACTAAGATACTTAAAACTATGTACAATGTTAAAATATAAATAAACCCTTTTAGAAAAAATAAAAAATACAGAAAAAATAAATGTATATTCTTCTTAACAGTAAAATCTGTTTCTGTTGAAAAAAAAAAAAAAAGAGAAAAAGAAAGTCGAATCTATAATAAGTATTCAGGTCATGAGCTATATGTGAATATGGTCTTATAGATAATATGTAATTTTACATAAAAGATTAGCTGGTGCCTGACTGTTTTTGGGACAGGAATTGGAATAGGAGGGTTTTGAATGTAGATAAGGATGAAGAATGTCGAATTTTGATAGGAAGGGAATTCCAGAAACTAACAGAACGTGCAATAAAGGAGTTTTGGAACGAGGCAGATTTGTGAGAAGGAATGTAAAGGTCGGAAGGTCGAGATCTTGTGGAGAGGGAGTGGACTGAGGACTTGAATTGGAGAAGGTTGTGGGCGTAAGAAGGACGATGATTGTTGATGATATGATAGAGGAATGTACCTAGGAAATATTGTCATCGAATGGAGGGGAAGAGCCACTCTAACTCAGTGTAATGGTGAGAGACATGGTAGTATCTCGGTTCACCAATTACAAATCTCACGCAACTGTTCATTATTCTTTTCAGTCTGTCACGGAGCTCCACCAAGAGTCCATCATACACCACACAGCAGTAGTCAAAGTGGGGGAAGATGAGAGAGGAAACGAGGAGTCTGCGCGTATGTTGAGGTAGGAGATGGCGGAAGCAATGGGATAGTTTGAGGGTAGAAACTGTCCGTCGGGAGATGTGAGAAATATGGTGACTCCAGGAGAGGGTTTGATCAATAAATAGTCCTAAATTTTTTACAGAGGAGTAGAAGGAGATTGGCTGGTCACAAAGGTTTAGTATGGGAAAGTCCGTATGGGAAAGTCCGTATAGGATCTAAGGAGGGGCTTGGAACCAATGACAATGGCCTGAGTTTTTGAAGCATTTAACCTTAATCCGTTTAATTTTGCCCAGGCACATATTCGATCTAGGTCTGCTTGGATCTTAGTAAATGCTACCAATAGCTCAGGGGAAGAAAAGGATAGGTATATTTGAGAATCGTCTGCATAAAGGTGGTGGGAACAATGGAGAATTGAGTCATGGAGGTCATTGATATAGGAACTAAAAAGGAGAGGAGATATGCTAGATCCTTGGGCAACTCCAGAGGATAAAGGCAGGTAGGCAGATAGTGGTTGATTAGGAATGGAGACTGCTTGGGTGCGTTGTGATAGAAAAGATTGGAACCAAGAGATGGAGCTATTGGAGAAGGAGAGTGATTTTAGTTTGTTGAAAAGGATGAGATGGCTAATGGAATCAAAGGCTTTAGAGAAGTCAAGAAGTATAAGGACAGTTAGTTGTTTATTATCTATTGCAGTCTGAACATCATTGGTAATTTTGATTAAGGCGGATTGTGTGGAGTAGCCGGGACGGAAACCAGATTGGAGAGGATCAAGTTGGTTAGACTTTTCGAGGAAATTAGAAACTTGGGATTGCACCAATCTTTCTAGGGGTTTTGAGAGATTGGAAAGAATTGAGATTGGGCGAAAGTCTTCGGGAGAGGATGGATTAGGCTTTTTATTTAAAGGGAGTACAATGGCTTTTTTCCAAGAGGAAGGGAATATTGAGTTCTGTAGGGAGAAATTGTAAATGAAAAGGAGAACTGGGAGGATTTCGGGGAGACATAATTTTATCAATTTGACAGGAATGCCATCTGGTCCTATGGAATTGGTGTGGGATTTCATTACTGCGGTTAGTAATTCAGTCGGGGAAATGTAGGAGAAATAAAAGTCATCATCATTAAATGATGACTAAGGAGCAAAGTTGGAAGAGGAGGGAAGAGAAGAGGTAGAGGAGACAGAAATAAAATGTGAATTTAAATCGTCAGGTGAAACGGAAAAGAACAGTGAGGAAGGGGATCTGGAAGGTTCACAGAGGGAAAGTTTGCGAAGGATTAGCCATTTAGATTTGGGATCTGGGGCAGATGACAGGGCTTCATGGAAGTAGGAAGCTTTAGCTCGCCGAATTCTTGTTTGTGTCAAATTGCGGAGCACCCTAAACGCTTGATAGTCATCTGTAAGCCTAGTACGTCTAAAGCGTCTGCGGGCAGCATCACGCCTCTTCTGCAGATCCTTGATTTCTTGACACATCCAAGGTGCAGGCCGGCGGCGAAAGGTTGAGGTTTTTATGGGAGCATGGGTCTTAAGGATATTGAGGAAATTGGAAGTCAGGATCTCAACCATGGAGTCGATGGAGGAGCAGGAATATATTTCGTTCAAGTCTAAGGTTTCAAGGTCAGGTAGTATTTTTTCACGGGTGAGAGTGTCTATCTGACGGAAAGTGAAGGTTCTCGGATGAATCAGAGGGGTTTGGATATTATATGTTATTTGGATCATGTCGTGAGACGATAAGAAGGATACTGGCAGTTGAGAAGAAGAGAGGAGATTTATTTCGGAGTCTATAATGAAGAAATCTAACCAAGTGTCGGCCTTGTGGGTGTGGTGAGTAGGATAGGTTTTGAAAAAATAGGTTTTCTAGATAGGTTTTGTCTTTGGAATTAGAAAGGAAATTGGTATTGAGGTCACCGGCGATGATTATTCTAGGATAGAGGGGAACAAAGTTGAGTAGGGTTGATTCTAAGGACGGATCAAATGGAACAAGGGGAGGACGGTAGATCACTATGTAAAGGAGAGGGGAATTATTACAGGTAATTTCTACTAGCAGGTACTCCACTTGTGGATGTTCGGAGGGTGGGGAGTAATCAAGGATTCGGGACTTCAGGCTATCATGGACAAATATGGCCACCCCAACACCAGTCCGGCTGACCCGGTCGTGGCGGATGAGGGTGTAATTAGGTAAGGAGACAGATGAGAACGGAATATAGGGTTTGAGCCAGATTTCTGAGATTGCGATGATGTGAAAAAAGTTTTGAGAGAAGTACTGCAGGAATTCATCATAATGGGCGGGAAAGGATTGCGAGTTAACGTGGCAGGTGGTTAGGGTGCTAGACATGGGGAGGATTTGATGGGAAACAGTCAGAAATTAGCATAGAGGAAATGAGGCATATATCATATTCTGAAAAAAAATTATGAAAAGTACTGATAAGCAAAATAAAAGTGAATAATGAAAAAATAAGTGAGAAATAAGAGTAAGAAAATAAACAAATTAGTAAACTGGAGCTATGAGAAATTTTAACCAAAATCTTCAAAGTTATTTGGGCACCAATGAAGACAAAAAATACTTTGAAGAACGAGAAGAAGAGACGAAACCTGTGCAGTCAGGCGAAAACTTCTAGATCCGATGCCTGATTAATTAATATTCTCTAACTTAAGATTAGCCAGTAATTAGAAAAACTGATGACAAGTTTTGATTCATGAATTAAATAATTGGTTTTAGAATACATAGTTGTTTAATGAAAAACTTTATTTTATAGATTTATTTTGTTAAATAACATATATTGTGTGGTTATTAATTACTAGAGCTGTTTAAAGGAACCATTAGTTATTTCTTACTGTGCTCATGTTGTATATTTTATTTTATTTTTTTATTCATGCCTTCATATAAATATATTATTGTAAAAAAAAAAAGTGATAAACAACTCTATAATTTTCATTGAATTTGTTTAAATTATTCAATAAAATAGTTTTCTTTTAATTTAGATTGTTTCTCTCACGGAACTGATGGCTGGAGTGAAGGCTCCACCACGAACAGTTCAGCTATTTCAACTTACTTGTTGGCCATTGGGTCACAAGGTACCAACTTCTACCAACTCGCTTGTTGAGTTAATGAACATGGTGGAACGCTGGCGACAGAGAACAGAATATGGCCCTGTTGTAGTTGTATCTCCGTAAGTTTAAAGATTATTATATTCAATCTATTACAAATTTTCTAACGAAATAAAGTTTGTGCCCATCATCAAAGATATTTCAGGTGAGAAAAGTAGAACTTGGGGGGAAACATTTGTGTGTGTGTGTGTGTGTTTTGTTTATTTTATGAGGGCAAGGGGAGTCATGGCTAAAAAAAGGCATGTCTATAGCTAAATCCAGCCCTAGTTTGGGAGTTTTATCTACTTAAATCACCTATCTATACCTGTTTTTCCCATCATAAGAACGTTTTAATGAATTTCATTCATTTTTTTTTTTTTATATACACAGAAAATCTGTCATGATACTGAAGTGTGACTGACTTAAAATGCACAATACTGTAACATTCCAATTCACTAAAACAACCAGCTCACTATTCTTCATTGCCATCCCACAAAACCACTGTCAAGCATTACTTCGAGAAGAGCAGTATGACTAAGCACCTATTTCTACTCTAAGCTCCTTACGCAGCTATTGACTACCCTCTCCTTTCTTCCTCTTGTGCTCTGCTGAATTTCCTGAAAATTTGTGCTGAATAGTCTGCAAGAGCACTAGCTATCCTCCTTAATTATCATCAGAGAGGTATATAACAACTCAGGCAGTTTTGATTAACAACTACTAATAAATTTAACAATTTATTGACTATTGCTATCAATGAATTACAATTCAAATTACTATTTTAAATTGTAATTCATACTGAAGGCCTTCTATTTAATGATTACAAATATAACTGACACTCGACAAAACAATATAACCTTATTATAGTCCCAGAATAAAATTTACTTTACTTTTTCTTATTATTATCTCTGATAACAGCCTTCTTCATAAATAATTCACTAACAATATAATAACTGACTCACTGACTAACTGGTCTAAAACCATTAAATGAACTGAACCAGACTATAAGCTGAATTATATCTATAAACTTATTTGAAAACTAACTTGACTGTGAACTTAGTAAAGTTTAAATAGCCTGCAGAAGGTTCACCTTGAATCTTATTAATTGAAACAGTAGTAATTTTTTTTAGTAAATTTTTTTAGTAGCTATCTATATATTTCAAATAACTTTTGCTATTTCGTAACTTTTTAAATTCAAAACTATAATATTAAATTTAACATATTATGATTATTACTTAAAAGGAAATTCACACCTGCCAAATCACTACAATACATTACATTAAAGTAGTTCAAAACATCTGGTGCAGAGCGAGCATCACACAACTTTTACTTACCATCCTTTTTTTAGGAGAAATAGGTATTTTCAGACAAATGAAAGAGAAAGTAACAGTCACAGACGATACAAAATATTGTTTGAAACAATCAATTACCATATGTTTTTCCAGCCGGCTAATGTATTATACTTATGTTGTTGTTGTTTTTCAGCTAATCATCGCCTTTAATGATTGTATATTTTAATTATTTATTTTCCATAGTATTTTAAATGTTGGGCATTTATATTATAATATCTATTTACTCTTTAGTTTATGCCTCACAGGTCAGTATGATAAAAATCGAAATTAAGTTCTGATAATTTTTATACATTTTGGAGAATCTGTGTCCTCCTCCTCAGCAATCTAAAAAAATTTATATACCAATATATTTTATTGAATATTTAATAGTTGACCGTTGCATTATAAAGGAAGGAGATGGTCCGAGGTTGCGGTCATAAAAACTCTAAATAGTGGTAAAACTATTTTATTGAAAGCCAACGTTTCGACCCGACTTTGCAGGTCTTCATCAGGGCTAGAACGGACAAGATACAAAAATATAGAGAATTGTGGCAATTACATAATATTTAGACATAATTTATAAACAATGTGAATAAGCTTATTAGAATTATAAACAGTAAGTACAATAAAATATGGACTAAGTAAGCTGAGTAACAAGATCCTAAACTAAAGTAAATAGATGCTAACAATTGTTGTAGTGTAATATATAATAAATGAAAATGTGAGTATAATTCTACAAAATCTACAGGAGAAAAATAAAATTAGAGACTTACAGGTGTGTTCATCTAGGAGTTTCACTTAGAACTGGAAAGGCAGCGGTAAGGATTGCAGGTATAGGGGAAGTTAACATGTGTTAACTAAGTAAACATTGAAAAACCCAGGAAATTACAGTATCTAGGAATTTTTGAAGATATGGATGGATACAATGGAAAAATACTATATCTATGAAATATTAAATTATAAATATATAAATATACATATAAAATAGAGTTGAGAGATGTGAGAGGTATTTCATGATTCTAGATCAGAGTACAATGTGAATAAACCCAAAATTGGCAAAAGTAAAATATAAATATAGAAATAACTTCATTAACATACATACATTGCAGAGCTAACTTAAAAGTATAGAGAGGGAAAAAAAATTAATACTTATAATTATATTTGGTTGTACATATGTAAGAAAATTACATTTGAATATTAGATAATGAGACATGGTTAATAAGTAAAATTAATACAAAGTGGGAAAAAAGGATGATCATACATTGGTGTAGAGTGTAAATGTAAATTTAGAATAAAATAGAAGAGAGATCATACAAAGAAGGAATATTTAGAATAATGAGCAATTAAATGAATTAATTAATAAAAATTGAGAGTAGATGAAAATAATAGAATAGAATATTTAAGTTATTTTCCCTTATAAGACTTAAAATGTGTCTATATGTAAGAGAAATACAGTTTTTGTCTACTTTATGATTAACGGGATTGTGTTTCATGTGAATGTGGATAGATTCGGAAATGAGTCCTTTTTCAACCCGCATTTCCCAACATAAAACGTCCATAACTTCCCGGATTCCTTCTGTCTCCAAACTATCAGAACATGCTTTAACACTCAACCACTCATTTGATTTTGAAAAAACCTCTATCCTTTTCACGGTCCCTAACCATGAAAAAAGACTCATTTCCGAATCTATCCACATTCACATGGAACACAATCCCGTTAATCACAAAGTAGACAAAAACTGTATTTCTCTTACATATAGACACATTTTGAGTCTTATAAGGGAAAAATAACTTAAATATTCTATTCTATTATTTTCATCTACTCTCAATTTTTATTAATTAATTCATTTAATTGTTCATTATTCTAAATATTCCTTCTTTGTATGATCTCTCTTCTATTTTATTCTAAATTTACATTTACACTCTACACCAATGTATGATCATCCTTTTTTTCCCACTTTGTATTAATTTTACTTATTAACCATGTCTCATTATCTAATATTCAAATGTAATTTTCTTACATATGTACAACCAAATATAATTATAAGTATTAATTTTTTTTTCCCTCTCTATACTTTTAAGTTAGCTCTGCAATGTATGTATGTTAATGAAGTTATTTCTATATTTATATTTTACTTTTGCCAATTTTGGGTTTATTCACATTGTACTCTGATCTAGAATCATGAAATACCTTTCACATCTCTCAATTCTATTTTATATGTATATTTATATATTTATAATTTAATATTTCATAGATATAGTATTTTTCCATTGTATCCATCCATATCTTCAAAAATTCCTAGATACTGTAATTTCCTGGGTTTTTCAATGTTTACTTAGTTAACACATGTTAACTTCCCCTATACCTGCAGTCCTTACCGCTGCCTTTCCAGTTCTAAGTGAAACTCCTAGATGAACACACCTGTAAGTCTCTAATTTTATTTTTCTCCTGTAGATTTTGTAGAATTATACTCACATTTTCATTTATTATATATTACACTACAACAATTGTTAGCATCTATTTACTTTAGTTTAGGATCTTGTTACTCAGCTTACTTAGTCCATATTTTATTGTACTTACTGTTTATAATTCTAATAAGCTTATTCACATTGTTTATAAATTATGTCTAAATATTATGTAATTGCCACAATTCTCTATATTTTTGTATCTTGTCCGTTCTAGCCCTGATGAAGACCTGCAAAGTCGGGTCGAAACGTTGGCTTTCAATAAAATAGTTTTACCACTATTTAGAGTTTTTATGACCGCAACCCCGGACCATCTCCTTCCTCAATATATTTTATATTCAATGTAGAAACCAGTCATAACTACAATAAATAAAATATACAACACATAAACAATTTTCAAATAAATATAAATTATTTTACAATATTTGTTAAAAATATAAATTACTTACATTTTACTCTCCCCAAAAATATTGGGTAAGTCAATATAATGTAATAAGTTTAGTAGCAAATCAAACATTGAACCAAACTTATTACATTATATTGACTTTTCCAATATTTTTTGGAAGAATTAAATGTAAGCATTATTGATCATAATAAATAATCAAGTGCCTAAGATATTTTTAGTCTGATATGAGTGCCACTGACAATTAAGGCCGCTAAATATGAATATATTTCATTGTAGGTATTTTTATTTGTTTAAGGATTGGTAAAGATACATAAATTTTAATTATTATATTCTGTAATCTATTCAATCATCGGATTTTGTTGGTTCTCTATTAATAACAAATTATATTAGGTTACTTCTCCTTTAGATAATTATCAAATTCTTGCATATTTTATATTTAATCATTTTTTATATCTGTTTCTAATGTGTAATGATTAATTATTTCAAAACAAAAAAAAATTTTTATTTTTTTTTATTTCTTTATGACATTTACAACTGTATTACATAAATACATCAAGTAAATTAGGACATAATTGATATAATGACATGAATACACTTGCTGAGTAACTACCCAATGGTAGCACTCTAATGATATGACTATATTAGGAGATCACGGGGCCATCTTCTTTTCAGACGCCTCGGAGGGTTATCAGGAATTGAAGAGGAAGCAAGGTTAGAAACGAGAGGGTTGGGATGATTCTGAAGTTTATTATGGAAGGATAGGTATCTGGATTGGGCCAGATCTGAAACATAAGGAACATTAAGATCTTTATGGATAATTTTATTAGAGACAAAGTAAGGAGCATTGAGGATTTTATGAAGGATTTTGGATTGTAAGGATTGGATGCGAGAGGAATTCGATGGTTTAGTGGAGCCCCATAGCTCAACTCCGTAAGTCCAAATAGGTCTTATTATAGTCAAGTATATAAGTCTTTTGTAATTAATGGGAAGTTTAGAGCGTTTGTCTAGTAAGTGCTGAAGTAATCGGAAACGTCGAGCGGTTTCTTGTCGTTTCAGTCTAGTATGAGGATTCCAAGTTAGTCGTTTGTCCAGGTGGAGTCCTAGGTATCGGATTTGCTCAACAGGGATAAGTGGAGTATTGTTAAAGGAAACTGTAGGACAGGAAGTCGTTGGTTTACGACGAAGGGTAAAGGTAATTTGGTGGGATTTATTGGAGTTTATTTTAATTCTCCAGTTTTGACACCATTCTTCTAGATTTATGATGTGTGATTGAAGCATTTGGGATGCAATTGCTGGGTCATTGTTTACTGATAGGATACATGTGTCATCGGCATATGTGGTGATGACAGTAAAAAAAAAATTAAAGGTACTTCAGAAAAGAAATTTTGAAAATTATGCATGGCTCTGATAGAGAACATAAATGAGAATAAGACCTACACTTTATTAAAAAACGTTTAATTATAAATTAGCATAATGAGTTTAATCTAAATCACTTGAACCATTTTCGAGAAACTTGTAAAAATGTATGAAATGGAAGATATAAAGTGCCACTTCCGGTTAGCTGATTTTGACAAAAAAAGTTATCAGGTATGGACAAGTCTTAAATACGCAATTTCAGTTGTGTACGACTTTTCGTTTTTGAGCTTGACTGTTCATATACTTGCACACACACAGAGAGGGAAACCATTTTGCAGGACTTGGTTGTTTGGACTCAGAGGACATCAAAACATGAATTTCCATTGAAAACTTAGATTAAAAAATTTTCACATACACAATACTTTCCCTTACTATATATTACACATCAGGTAATTGAAATTAAAAATATAGTCACCCATCAAGGTTTATCACAAAATTCACAGATACAGAAAATGAATTTGATATACTTATATAAAACCTGAACCAACAGATTTTCTTTAAAATGTAACTTGACCTAGCAGTATACTGGTCTTCATAATACCCAAAAGAAAAAACTAAATAGATTATAAAAATATCAGTTTTTATTCTTAATTAGCTCATTCTAAGTTGTTGTTAGATTATGAAGAGGCTATGTTACATTTTATATATTTATTGTTATATTTAATATCTTATTTATTTATTTAATATAAAATAAATAAGGCTTATCAATAAAGTAATGGTGGTTCCACCTAGCCTAATACCAGATAAAACATTTTGTTAAATAAGAAACATTGATCTTAATACATTTATTTGAAAAACTTTTTTAGAGATGGCAGAGGGAGGTGTGGAGTTTATTGTGCAGCTAATGCTTGTATTGAACAAGTAATTCAACATGGTGAAGTGGATATCTTTCAAGCTGTAAAAACGGTCAGACGCCACAGACCACAACTAATTGAAAATATGGTAGGTACTAAAATAATGTCGCGGATATAAATGTTTTAATTATTGTATACAAAATAGAACATAACAATTTTTTTTTAAACTAATATACCTATTTATTGAGTCATAGGCTCTTTGAGAGATTTGTGATAATTGTTTAAGAATTTCAGTTAACATTTTTATGCAACAAAATGAATTTTTCTTTTGGGATTTGTTAAAAAATGTTTCTGATTAAGAATTGTAAATAAAGTATTAAGAAAAAGAAAAAAATATTTGTAGACCACATAAAATAAAAAAAAAAACTAACAAAACATATTCAGTGACCAGTAATAGTAATGGGAAAGAATTCTTATGGTACATTAAAATGTTTTAGCTCAGAGTAAATGTTAAATAATTTCCTCATTTCATGAGTCAATTTATGAAGGCGCTGCTGAATTATGATTTGGTTGAAATGATATTCATCTTAATAACTTAATAAAAGTTTTTTCTTTTGTTTTTTCAGACAGAATACAAGTACTGTTATGACTTGGTATTACACTATGTGCTCCACTACCTCAACAAAGACTTAAAGGAGAAAAAATAATACCTTAAAAATATATTCGCTGTGATACTGCGTAAAAATAAGCTTTCTACAAGAAAACTTTAAGTGAGCTGTCTTATTAAAGAATAGTCAAATCCTTGATTACTGTATAGTTAGTATAGTGGTGCTATTGTAATTTAAATTGTTTATAAACTTATGCGGCATTAGATAAAGTAGTATATTTTTTATTAATTTTGAGTTAGTTATAAGTCAAATTTAAGATACTATCTATGTTTATGTGTAGACTGCTCTGTGTAATTCTGAACATTAATAAGTGTATTTGTTTAACTATTTTAGTTTCATAGAGCTTCAGTTATTCAGTAAAATGTAGATATCTGCTAAAATATATTGCTGTAAGTACACGTTATTGCCAAACAAATGCAAAGAAATGCTTATCTAAATATGAATGTATGTATAAAGCAAGAAACAGATTATTTCTGAGCACAATAAAAACCTTATCTAGGTAAATATATTCACTATAATATATGTAGCCGATATATAATGGCATATACTATCCTCTGTAGTATGGAAAAGTATTCAAGGCATTCTATTAGTTACAATACCAATCAATGTTTACTCTTAACTTTTCAAGGGCTTAGATATTTAAAAGACCCTGATGTTAAATTTCCATACAAGTCTACAATTATTTATTACATTTCTTTCGGTTGTTATATAGATCAAAAACAACCAGAATAATAAAACAAATATTTTGATATGCCCAATGTAAAATTAGAAAACTAATGGTCTTCACTTTATATTTTCAAGGAAATACATTGTATCAGGTTTAAGTTATGTTTCAGAAATCAAAGACTATATGGCTATATATTTTTAGGTTTTGATAATATTGTTATTTGTGATTCATAAATGTAACCTTCAATATTGATGATCATCACTTTCAAATACTTGTTAATTTTTGCCAGCATAATTAAGAGCCACAAGGGTCAAGATCTAAAATGAGGCCTGACCAGCATCCAGAAATGGAAATAACAATGTAGGTAGTTTAATAAAGAAATTAAGTACTATTCTTGAATACCATAATTAAGAATATGAATAATTATGTTAATTTGACCAATACATATTTTGATCCATCGATTGACATCATGTCAAGAAAATATATTATAGTTGTTATCTTTAAGGAGATGCTGAGCCAATTTATTTTTTTTTTTTATACTGGGGTTAAACTTAGGAAACAAATTTTTAGGCTTTCTAAATTTAAAACAAAAATTAAAAAATAAACAAATAAAGTTATATTTTGACTTTTATAAAATATAAAAACAATGCTACAAAGTAAAATTTGACAGACTGAATGTAATAATGAGAATAACACATTGAAATTTTTCAACTGAGAAATCATTTGCAAAATTATGAAGTGCATATCTATTACAAATTATTTTGACTAAATAATCTGATAAAGCTATACTTTTTAATAACTAAGTAAATGATACTGTACCAAGGAAAATATGTAACCTAGTTTATCATATTGTTTAAAATATTATAATTGATTCATAAACATAATATACTGACCATATTTTTAAGAATACTCCAAAACTATTTTAAAATACCGATCTCTTCATATCGCTGCTTGTACTAAACTTACTAATATTTGAGATCATTATAATTTTGATTAAAAACAAAAATAATAAAACCTAAATAAACAGGAGGTTAAGAAGGAGAGGGGTATGCAATAATAATTGAGAAAAATATATATAAACAGAAGAATATATATATATGTATATACCCACAAGTCCGAACAAAGGGGAGAAGCCAGAAGCTGGGGAAGTAGCTTGGGGATCCATTCCGGTCTTACATTATATTATATAATATAATAAGGTTATACTATATAATAATCACATAATATCTTTAAATTATTTTTTTCATAAATTTTATTGAAAATGGTTATTACAGAGGTGATTTTAATATTTGACAAGTGTCCCAGAATAATTAACAATAAAGAATAATAACAGAACAATAAATTGTCCATAAGGCCCTTGGTTTTTCTCCTCACGGCCCTCTATAATATATATAAATATGTGTGTGTATAAATATACACACATATACATATATTTGTTTTTTTAATTTATATTTATTATAGCTTTTTTATATTTAGATATTCTTCACTTGATGGGCTAACTTTAAAAAATTCTTAAAAGCTTACTTTTTTATTTTAATAATTTATTCTTTACCTTTGGACCCCTGTAAATCAAAATGGGACCCATTTCAGAATTTTCAGACCAATTTAGGGATCAAAACGAAGAGAATGAACTATTAAATAAAAAATATTCAAATTTTATGACCTAATAAGTGAACAATTACTAAATATATAAATGAAGATTAATATAATAATTTCTAACATCATATATGTATGTGTAAATATACTATATATTGTGATCTAAAAACAATATTTATAGTTATCCATTATAATTCAAAATTGAAGGCATAGGTTTCACAATTCATAACTTGGATATTTACTTGATAAAAGTAAAATCTGAAATTTTAATCACTGAAAATTGTATTACTATGATCACTGTAAAATTTATAATTATTGGCTGACTGTTAATTTTAAAATTCACGTTAAATATTATTTAAAATTTACTAAGTCCATTTTGAATACTATTCTGCAATCAATTTTTTTTTTTTAGATATATTAACAAGAATACTTCTGTTCCAATTTTGTTTAACAGAAGGATATTTACTAAGTAACTATCATGCTTCTTATTTATATGAAATGGGAATGTTAAAAATAACTCAGTCAATAAACATTTAGCTGGTTAGCATACATGTTTCTTGTTATCATAAATTTATCATGATAAAAAAAAGTTTATGATCTGTGGGTTTTACACCTATAAACAACAACAGACAAAAAAGTGGCAATCAAATGTTTGTTCAAATAACTTATTTATATAATTATATTTGAGGGGGAAATGGGTAGTTGTGTAGAAATGATTTTAATTTTTTTTCAGTAACCAGCCTTGTTTATTAGAAACAAGGTTAATTTATAGCTAAATAAATAAAATTTTAGTGTATATCAAAAGAGGAATGTTAGTGAAAGCATACGACCACATGGGTTTTTTAGAAACTGTTTGATTTACAGTTGCGATCAAGTTTATACTAATTGTTTAGTATATAAGTTTAATGGTTGGGTACTTATAGCCCTAATACCTTTGTCCTGGAATGTGGCAGCTTATATTAGTTTTAAATAAAAAACTTTTATCTCAAAAACCATTATAAACTACAAAATTGGATACTATAATAATAAAAAATTGAATTATATATATATATATATATATATATATATATATATATATATATATATATTATATATATATATATATATATATATATATATAATTGAATATTTAAATATATACACCAATTAATATCTTTTAATTAATAAATATACAACACAAAAAAAATCAATAAAAATTTAGTTTTTTTTTTCCTAAATAAGTTAACATTTCAATTGATATTCATTGTACATTCCAGATAGCTAGTTGGAAACATATTATTATAATGGTACAACATGAACACAAAATTTGAAATTTGCAATCATCATTTACAATTGGTTTAAATTGACCATTACATGATTTAATTTGAAAATTATATTTAATGTTTATAAAAATCTGGTATTAATTCCTATTCTTTCATATTTTTAAATAATCTTTCTAAATTAAATTAATATTTTCTACATTAATACCATATATATGGTGATGTATGAATTTACAAAACCTACCCATTTCTATAATTTGTATACTTACAAGAAATAAAAAATTATTTATCTATCAATTTAAAAATTATAGCAGAAAATTCTATTGTTAAAAAAATTAACTGAATCAACTCATTTCCAGAGCCTTAATATTTTGGTTGTTAAACAAATGTAGTATAATGATCAAGAAAAACATATTATGAAAAAAATTAATCAAATTACTAAAATTTCTAAGGTATGATTGTCGAATAAGTTAGTTTTAATTTTTATTATCGTATTGTGTAGTATAGTCAGGAAAAGATAGCTTTAGTAGTTTTTATAATTATTAATTGAGATCTGTTCTTTATTTTTTATTTCTAAGTATATCAGTTATTAACTAAAAGAAACTATACTGCACAAATCTGAGTTCCACAATAAGGTCATTATTTCAGAAAAAAAAACATAAGAATTTAAAGATGCTACAAACAAAATAACAAATTAAAAAAAATGTTTTAAATAATTGAATTAACTAATAGAATAACCTAGAGCTACAAGTTTTTTCCTGTTAATTTTTATTAATTGTTAGTGATCTCCAGGAAATTTGTCATTGAACCATTTTAATTGGAATATATTTAAAATACTGTTGCAAAACTTAAAATACTTACACAATTATTGAGGAACAACATGAAATATATGTCTTCAATTTATAGCTAATAATATAATTTTAATAAATTAAAAATATGTTATTAAATTAAAAGTTTATCCTTTGATAAACTCAAAAATATTATTGAAAAAACTGAAAAACAAACTATAATAGGAAACATTCCACCTAATTATTTTATTTTTAATACTACTATTCTATCTCATGTAGACAAAATTAACATTAGTTTTTAATTAAATGTTTAATACTTCAGATGGTTTGTAATTTTGAAATAATATAAAACAAAATTTAATGTTATTTTAATTTTAAAATACAGTGGTAATTATTAATAAATAATACATAAATTATTACCAGATTTTCATGAAGATATACCAGGTTTCATCCTACTATAAAAAAAATTACAAATAAGGAGCATTAGGAATGAATACAAATCATGACTATGGAACATTGATATCCATTAAAGATCTTTCATTTTTATCATCATTTAGACAGTAAAGAATTAAACCATGTAGTTGTGAGAACTATATAAAGGAACCTATTTGGAAATTCATCTATTTCAGCTTATCATATTAATTTATTTCAATTTGAAACATTCTTAATTTATAAGCTGTATCATTATTATTTTATTGCAAATTTTCATTAATTAATATTATTGAAAAATTTTTGAATGTATAATACCATATGTTCCATTTGTATTAAGGATATATATTTATTCTTGATTTTGTTTTCATATTAAGTTTAAAATATTTTTTAATATTTAAATAGCTTATTGTATTTCTAATAAGAAATTTTATATTCATACATTACTGATATTGGAAATTTAATAATAAAATAAACCTAAATCATATTTTAGTTTAAGAAATAAAAAGATGAAATTATTGAATTATAAATTACATGATTATGATATTTTATAAATACAGATTGATTTTATAAATATATTTTTTTTAATAGTTTCCCATAATTGTATATATCTTGAATTTTTAAATTAATATAGCAGAAGAAGGAACTACTTTTGAACAAACGATATTGGTAAAGAAAGTATCATGTACAATATTTGGATTGAGGAAAGAAGTATCCATTGGAGAATTCAGGAGACTACACAGCACGTAATTGCAGAAGATACATCTTTCTTAATTTAATTGCATTAATATCATTAGGATAATATAAATTGGTATATCAATTTATAAAGCTTAATAATAAATGAATCACTAAAAATTTAATGAGTAATGAACTTCCAGTTAACATATAAAAGACTAAGAAGCAATTGGAAGGATAAAGTTGAGTCAGAGTTGCAGACATAAGTTTTGATAGGTGCCAATGGTGGTAGTTAAATTATAAAAAAAAATATTAATAAGCATTTGGAAGAAAGAAAAAATGCCAGATGATTTCCATAAATCCATTCTACACTCCTTTCATAAAAATGGGGAACAGCTGGAATGCTCAAATAATATAGGTATCTCTCATCTCCCTGTCATGGCATATACCATTGTCTCTTATAATTGAAAAGTTGATTTGAGTTAGCAATCATAGAGAACACAAATAAAAACAGAAGATTTTTATTTTAAATATAAATAGTCAAATGATTAGAAATAATTTACAAATTTTTGCACCCATTGTTTTCATCCCAAAAATACATAAACAATATATATATATATATATATATATATATATATATATATATATATATATATATATATATATAAAACAATATTAAAACACTTTTATTTAGTTATATCACTTATATTTGTAACATTTCTGTCCCTTTGGCAATTATCAAATATTTGTTTATATATATTATCACCTCCTATTTATATTTTTGTGAAACGATTTGACAATATCCTCTCATTTAGACAATTTTTTTTTCTTTTTGACAGTCAAGATTTTTATTGTTGGTACTTTTTCTTTCTAAAAACAGTAAAAAAATTGTTTCTGTATTTCTTATTTTCTCTATAAGATTGATATTATGAGAAGTGCTAGTGATGCATTGTGTACAGCACATGTTTAACAATTAAGAGTGTTGTCTCAGTTAGCTTGAAGCATCTGAAGGTTTACTCAAATCTTTTCATTAAAAAAAATGGTAAGTACGTTCATTGCCACAAGTTTGATAATGTCCTACTTCAAAATAACCATAATCCAAGCTTTTGCATATGATCAGCCAACAGCAGCATTGATACAATCAGTTTTGTTCTTTCAATAAGTTTTAAAAACACATCCAGTTTTGAGTAAGTAAAGCCTTAAATTCAAAATGCCATAACTTTACATGTCACAACTGTATACCATAGGAAAGCAACACCATGATAACATTTGTTGCACATAGTTTTTTTTTTAAATTATATAAACTTTTAAACAGCACATGAGACTAAGGGGTTTATTACTAGTTTAAGGTTCTTGATTTTTTTTTAATTTTATAGCCTAAAAAGTGGCAGTGGAATTTTCAATATTGAGTATTTCTTCATTGTTTCATGTTATATTAAAAACAAAAGAGATTATAACACTAAAATTTTATATTTATTTAATGATTTTCTAAATCTATACAAACACAGTTTCTTCAAGGTATCAAATTGGATATCAAAAATGTAACCAAATGGGTGAAAATAAAAAAATAAATATATTTTTTTACCTACTTTGTTTTTGGACAGCTAATCAATCTAGCTAGGCTGACAAAGGTTGTCTTTACAGTTTGACTCCTTTTTACAACTACTTTTTACTTCAAAGTTTACTAGTTTTTAAGAGGAATCTGTGATTTTTCACTCATACAGGTCAAGTGTACATCAGAACAGTTGATATTTACAGTGTATGTAGTTAAAAACTTTTAATTTTTTGTGTTTGTTTTTTGGTTTCCTTTCTGTTATAATATGCCTTATTATCACTAAGTGATGTCCAGTAAAGTGCCTACTAAGAGGACTCAATCAGATGGCTCTAACCCTTGTGGCTCATCAGCAAAACAAAGAATTCGTTACAACCTACAGGAAACTCCTACAGTGACCACACCCGTATAATCTTTAGAATCTGAACCTCAGCCTCAACCAAGTACATCAAAACAAGAAACGGTCGAAGAATCCCTTTTCTTTACTCCAAATCCGTACCAAGTGCTTTAAAATGGCAGAGGGGCAATTGAGTCTGCAGTAATACCCAGAGTAACAAGGCCTCCTCCGATATTTGTGAAAAATGTAAAGAATTTTCAGTTGTTCTGCACCCAGCTAAATAAAATATAATCTGCTCTGACAGTTATTCATGCCTTAACTGGACCAATGGCACAAAAATAACACCAGATTCTGCTGAAGCCTACCGAAAAATAGTGAAGTACCTATCAGAAACAAATGAAAATTTTCACACGTACCAGCTGAGGCAGAAGAGAGCGTTACGCGTTGTGATAAGAACTTTGCATTGCTCAATCCCAACTGAAGTGTTTAAACAAGAACTAACGACGCTTGGATTCAAAATACGTCAGATTACCAGCTACAATTGTCAGATGTACTTACGAAGACTTACTGCTATCATCTGCCGCATTGTGTGAAAGGCGGTGAACAGCACAAATCTGTATAGTGCACCAAACCGATACAAGATCCTGCAGTTTGTGCACTATACCTGGAGGGAAACCCGGATAACTGCAAGGGCTGCATACATTTACAAAAATCTTAAGTCCAAACACCAGAAAAATTGAATTCAAGATGAAGCAGAAAGACCAAGAAGGGAGAGAGAGAGCCTTCTAGAATAGTGAACAATAGTGTATCATTCTCCTAAATACTTGGAGGTAAGAACTCAACATATAAATGTCAAGCCCTGTCACAACAACAACCTCAAACCCATCCTCAAAATCATATTCATCCTAATATACCTAACCATCAAAAATCTCATCAACAACAGATTCCTCCTCCTTCAAATGCCACAGATCTTACCAGTTTGTTAGCATCTTTCCTCACCAATTTCAAATATCTTATTTTTGCTGTTATTGTATACCAATCATTCTCTCATCACTTGCTCCTATTACCTACTCTGGCAAAACCAACCTCCATCG